GAAATTTTGGTGGAGAAGCACCACTGGTGACTGCATTTCTCTTTGCAATGAAGCACAGTCACAAAAAAACAACAAACAGCAGCAGACATCTTTCCAGAAACTTCCTGGCCACTGCCCAGCTAGACAAAGAACACTAGATCAAGTAGCAGACACTCATAAGTTGAGTTTGACCCAGAAGGCTCTTTTTCAGCCTTCTCAAGGCTTGCCCGATCATTCCTCAAGTACTATGAGTTAGGGTGATTCTACACTGTAAAATTAATACAGTTTGACACCATTTTAACTGCCATGGCTCAATGCTGTAGTTTGGTGAAGCAACAGCACTCTTTGGGAGAGAAGACTTGAGACCTCAAAACACTACAACCCCTACGATTCTATAACATTGAGCCATGGCCATTGAAGTGTAGATGCACCTTTTGTGAAACAGTGTTACACAACTAAGCAAAATCCACAGAAGACCTAGATACAAACATGGTGAAGAAATGCAAAATTTTGGGCAGGAACATAGTGAGGGGGAGAAGGAGGAAGGGAAAAAGAGGAGGAGGAGAGGAGGAAGAGGAAGAAGAGGAGGGGAAGGGCAAACTGGAATGAAGGAGGAGAGGAAAAGATCTCCTTTTATGAAATATGTTCTTTTATCTGCTTTTATGAAACTCTATGGTTCTACTTCATTGGAAACTTGAATCTTAGCCCATCTCTAAACAAATAAACAAATAAAAAGAGCACAGTGCTGATAAAAATGTGGTTTCCTGTTGTGCTTCTGGTCTTCTCTTTATCACTAATGAACTAAAGAATTTTTGTCCTTATCTCCTCCAGAAGGGGAAAAGAAACCAGCGGAGGCAGAGTCCCAAGCTGTTTAGGGCTTTGCATTTCATTGCCATGACCTTGGATTCAAGACTGAAGTGAATTGGTAGGAATAATACATTAGAGGACTGTAGACTGTTTCTGCCAATTCCTTAAAATGATTTTACCATGGAAGAAAAAGTAAATTGCATGAATCCATCAAGAAAGATTGTAGGCATTAGATTGCAGCTAGATTGGCAAAGGCTGTGGGACATCTACATCCTCAGCCACTCTCTGACTTGTCTCTCCTTCTTCACAGTTGGACTTTTGAAACAGATGGACTTGAACCCCCAGCCTATTGACATCTAATGTTTTCAGGGGCTGGTGACAAACATAGCCTGTATTTGGCATTCAGGGAGATACCCTACCAATCAAGAAGGGTAGCAGACATTGGTCAGAAACCAGAGTCATTACCACAATCAAGGATTTGTCCTATACACAATTTCCTAGTACAGCGGGCATTGCACACTGCCAAACAAAAAGGACTAAAGTGACACAGAACATTTCTACAACTTTTGTCATTGCTTGTTTACACACCGAGATGCTTAGACATTAAGCACGAAAAGTTAACACATGCAAATATCTCTTGCCATAGTTAAGAAAACTATGGCCAGTTGACTTGCATGCCAGTTCAATTTGCAGTTGATGGACAACTTCACGCCTGACATCTCCCCTCTTCTGAGTTCTTTATTTATAAATAAGTATGGAATGAGTCGCTCTTCAAATAATAAGGATGTAAAAATCTGTATCGTAATTGCATTGAAACTCCTCTGCATTTCCTTCCTATCCTTGTTTTATGGGGGGTTGTGAAACTGTATTTCTATCTGCACTGAAATTTGTACAATTTATTAAAATATTATTGCTATGTTGTGTGTTTATTTGCACCATTAACATAACTTCACATATTTCCCTATAAGATATTTCTGTCTATATTTGTTGGTCATAAACATTTCTGTCTATGGTTATCAATCATTTTAGCTGTTCACACATTAAAAGGTGCATATTTTTAATTCATTGCATACGATTCAATGTTGAATCCAATGCAGTTCTTTCCATCCATATCACAGAGGATATGTTCAAATAGAAGGCTGAACTCCATAAAGAAGAATGGAATCAGTGTCATTTTCCAGAAGCTTTCGTAAATGTATATCACAAAAGAATAAAATGTCTAATTTGCTATCAACACACCCAAATTAACGTGATTGAACACTTTAAAAGTATGTTGTGATTCTACTGTACTATTAGAAATGGTGCAGTATTCATGTACAGAGAACATGAAGGACTTGGATCAATTTTTTAAAATTTGTTTCAGTGGAATTTACATCAGCTTTAAGTGAAAACATTATTTCACTGTTAAGTATGGATTGATGGTTCCATCTCTGAGATAAAGGTCCATTTTGAATTGTTTCTTTATAGATCTATTTATTTCTTCATTGACATTTATTAAGAAAATCTGCAGGAAAATTTTGTAAACAGATCTACAATCATGTATTTGTGAAGCATTTTTTTACGAACATACTAATTTATCAAGGTTCAGTATTTCCAAATTGTATTTAATCTTAACATGTGTTTTTCCAAAATGTTTTACTGTATTTTTGTCCCAGTACCACCTGTGGTCCATGGACCACCAGTGGTCCGCAATAACTAAAATATGGTCCACGGCCTCACCATTTCTACACTGTTGCAATGAGAATGACTGGTCTCGTGAAACTCTCTTATAGTGCGAGGCTTATTAAATATGGTTTTCTATGGGCGAGCAGATGGTGACTACTGGATGGCATATGTTCTGTATCAGAAAATAGAGCTGATGTAATTTAACCAATGCAGTTTTCTGAATCAGCACCCTAAACAGCCAAACCATATCTAAAGTTGACCAAAAACTGATTTGTAGACCATTTGTTACTTATGTTGGAGAATGGTCCCTGATCAAAGTGGTCCCTGCTCAAAAACGTTTGGGTACCATTGCTGTAAAGCAAGGCTCTTTCAACATGTTTTGGTGTGGAGCCTTTGGAGCTGAAAACTGCATTTACAAAATTCAGAGAAATGTAAAATCCAAAGAATAATTAATAAATATACATTTGACAGTTTCAAAAATGTAATTTCAAATTAAAATGTCAAAAGTCAAATTCTTCTGGTTTCCTACTGTTAAAGATGTTTTGCAGTTAGCTCATTTTGTAAAAGAAAATCCAAAAAATGCCATTATTAAGGAATAGCTTTTGATTCAGTGAAACTCAACTCTGAGTATTTATTCTTAGGATTGCATTCAAACATTCAGGCAGAATATTCTCCAATACTCACAAGCACATTGTGTAGTACTCTCTGTAACCGATGGAGAAAATTTGCAACACCATGCCAAAGAACACTACAGTAAAAACAATTCAATGGCATTCCAAGTTTATGTGGCAACAAACTACAATTTGATAATAGTCAAAGCTACTTCTCAGGTATCTATTTTCCTCTCTTTCCCTGTTCAGAATCAAGACAATGTTTGGCTAGCCTACCATCACAAGGCACACATTACTGTTTCATGAGAGCATTACATTCAAAGATCATGAATTCTAAACAGATGTCATTCCAGCAGTGCAATACTTTGCACATCTAGTTAAAGGTAAGTCAATTGAGTTGAGTGAGACTGCCTCTTAGAAAAATGGGCATCAGGTGGCAAGTCGGCAGGAAAAAGTGACACGCTACATCATAGCAGTAAGTACCATTGATTTCAATAAGAGACTTATCCTTCACTTTTAATGTTTTCAGGGTTTTTTACTGTTTCAAACCTGTGATGCTTTAACACAGTAGTTTATGCAACTTTTTCTGATAAAATGTTTATTCATCTTTTTCTAAACTCTGTATTTTGCCTTATTCTGTACTGTGAGTCACCTTTGGCCCCTTGTTGGGAGAAATGCGGTATATAAATTAAATAAATACTGTGTGAATGGCATTACCACTTCAGTCTTTTCATTAAATCTCTTAGACTTTAAAATGTTCTTAACTTTGGATAGATTACATCCATTGTAAGTGCTGGCTGTTGTTTTCCCCAGTTTAATTCTTTACTTTTGCATTTTAAAAAATAAAGTATTCAGGAGAGATGCAACCCCCCCCCCGCCCCCCCACAAAAAAACAGAAATTGACACAATTTTTAAAAGGCTCTTTAGTATCAAAAAATGAAGGCACGATTCCTTAAGGCATATTCCTTTATTTCCATCTGCCATGTACCTTTACAACATCATACACCATAGAAGAAGAAATAGTAACTCTATCAGCAATTTAAAATCAGGATTTGTGTGTGTATATGCTTACAGGCATGTGGATACATTTATGCCATTTGAATATTCCTTATCTGAAATGTTTGGGACCAGAGGTGTTTAGTATTTTTGGGGTGGGGGGAGAGTTTGGATTTTCAGATTTTGGAACATTGGCACATATATAATGAGATATCTTGCAAAATCAGGCTAAACACAAAATTCATTTATGTTTCGTATGCATCTTATAGCTATATATTATTGTGAATGAAACGAAGTTTGTGTACATTAAACAATAGAAAGCAAAGGTGTTTCTGTTCAACTTATCAGCTTTCCGCAGGGCATGTAAGACATATCTGTTTCGACAGACCTTTGACTTTTAATATTGCTGTTTTAAATTGTTTTAAATTGTTTTTAAATTGTGTTAGATTTTAGCCTGTTCTTGTAAGCCGCTCCGAGCCCCAGGGGAGTGGTGGCAAGTTTGAATAATAAATAAATAAATAAATAAATAAATAAATAAATAAATAAATAAATAAAACTATGCATGTTAATAATTTTGGATTTTGAAATATTTCGTATTTCCAAATAGGCGTTCAAACTGTATGCCTAAGCATGTGTGTGAATGTGTGTGAATTTATCTGAGAGACATTGCAAAAAATAAAAAGAATATATCGTAAAAGAAAAACAATGTAATCAGAATTACGTCTTTTTGTCAAAAATGTTATCAGTATTACAAATTAACACGTAAAAATAACCAATCCTTTAATATCCATTCAGCACATCATGCCAAACATCCATGTATTGCATTTTAGAAAATGTCATTTGATGATATATATTTTATAAAAAGATTTCTTAGAAATTGCTAGCATTAATGGATGGAATAGGGAGAAACCAAATGACCAGTACCATGTCTGATATGCTTACCTGTTAATGAATGAAGACACTTACCAATTAATGTGCTGGTCATAACATCTTCTGCAGTGAAATGACTCCAGGAAAATCAGCTCTTTATGAACAGCTCTATCACCAGCAGCAGCACATGAATCTTCCCACAAGACAGCAATTTAGCAGAGCCGATTCCTTGGAAATGGGTCACAACCCATCTAAAGAAAGAAGCATGTACCCCAGCCCCTTTGACACTTTCCATTGCATCATCAGTTTTGAATCCTCCCTGAAAAACCAAAGTGCCAAAGTCTGAGCTTGTGTTTTTCATGTTCATTCCAGAGGTCCTTCTGTTCCTCTGAAGATCCCATTCATTTTCAGAGGTGACCTCCTTCCACCACCAGATTATGCTGCTTGCATTACAGCTGGACAGAAGAGGACTTTGCTCCCTGTGGTTTTGAATGCTGGTGAGAATGCTGTTTTGTCCTCTCTTTCCTCCACTCCCTCACATCTGTTCGTCTCCACCACTTCTTATCACAAGCTCAGCTTGATTAGCCAAGTAATTCAGCAACTCTCTGGCAATGACCCTCTCTGGAAAGGTTTTGGAGGAAGCTGGCAGTTCATCAGAGCAAAGAATACTATAACAACCAACCAACAAACCTAAAGAAAAAACAGACGCCTGTTCATAAATGTGTAAGGCACATAAAGATAAAAATTCAGGATAAATCTAAATTACACCTATCTCCCTCCTCCGCTCCATTTCCCTGTATTCTCTCTTCACGACATTGGAGAAATAACATTTTTTAAACATTCAAATTCAGGAGTGAGAAGCATTTTCCTGTTGGTTTTGTACTTCCTTGGGAGAAATGTAGCAGTGTCTATGTGCTACCAGTAGGAAAAATCAATGCAAACTTTGGATCATAGAATCATAGAATCAAAGAGTTGGAAGAGACCTCATGGGCCATCCAGTCCAACCCCCTGCCAAGAAGCAGGAATATTGCATTCAAATCACCCCTGACAGATGGCCATCCAGCCTCTGTTTAAAAGCTTCCAAAGAGGAGCCTCCACCACACTCCGGGGCAGAGAGTTCCACTGCTGAACGGCTCTCACAGTCAGGAAGTTCTTCCTCATGTTCAGATGGAATCTCCTTTCTTGTAGTTTGAAGCTATTGTTCCGCGTCCTAGTCTCCAGGGAAGCAGAAAACAAGCTTGCTCCCTCCTCCCTGTGGCTTCCTCTCACATATTTATACATGGCTATCATATCCCCTCTCAGCCTTCTCTTCTTCAGGCTAAACATGCCCAGCTCCTTAAGCCGCTCCTCATAGGGCTTGTTCTCCAGACTTTTATCATTTTAGTCGCTCTCCTCTGGACACATTCCAGCTTGTCAATATCTCTCTTGAATTGTGGTGCCCAGAACTGGACACAATATTCCAGATGTGGTCTAACCAAAACAGAATAGAGGGGTAACATTACTTCCCTAGATCTAGACACTATGCTCCTATTGATGCAGGCCAAAATCCCATTGGCTTTTTTTGCCGCCACATCACATTGTTGGCTCATGTTTAACTTGTTGTCCACGAGGACTCCAAGATCTTTTTCACACGTACTGCTCTCAAGCCAGGCATCCCCCATTCTGTATCTTTGCATTTCGTTTTTCTGCCAAAGTGGAGTATCTTGCATTTGTCACTGCTGAACTTCATTTTGTTAGTTTTGGCCCATCTCTCTAATCTGTCAAGATCGTTTTGAATTCTGCTCCTGTCCTCTGGACTATTGGCTATCCCTCCCAATTTGGTGTCGTCTGCAAACTTGATGATCCTGCCTTCTAACCCTTCATCTAAGTCATTAATAAAGATGTTGAACAGGACCGGGCCCAGGACAGAACCCTGTGGCACTCCGCTCGTCACTTCTTTCCAGGATGAAGAGGAAGCATTGGTGAGCACCCTCTGGGTTCGTCCATTTAACCAATTACAGATCCACCTCACCGTAGTTTTGCCTAGCCCACATTGGACTAGTTTCCTTGCCAGAAGGTCATGGGGGACCTTGTCGAAGGCCTTACTGAAATCCAGGTACGCTACATCCACGGCATTTCCCACATCTACCCAGCTTGTAACTCTATCGAAAAAAGAGATCAGATTAGTCTGGCATGACTTGTTTTTGATAAATCCATGTTGACTATTAGCAATGACCGCATTTGTTTCTAAGTGTTTGCAGACCACTTCCTTAACAATCTTTTCCAGAATCTTGCCTGGTATTGACGTGAGGCTGACCGGACGGTAATTGTTTGGGTCATCCTTTTTTCCCTTCTTGAAGATTGGGACCACATTGGCCCTCCTCCAATCTGCTGGAACTTCTCCCGTTCTCCAAGAACTCTCAAAGATGGTTGCCAATGGTTCCGAAATGACTTCCGCTAGTTCCTTCAATACTCTTGGGTGTAGTTGATCTGGCCCTGGGGACTTGAACTCATTTAGAGCGGCCAGGTATTCCTGTACGACTTGTTTCCCAATTTGGAGTTGGATGTCCTCAAATCCCTCATCCACTCCGTCTTGCTGAGGTTGAAGATGACTTTCTTTTTGTGAGAAGACCGAGGCAAAGAAGGTATTTAGTAGTTCTGCCTTTTCCCTATCCCCTGTCAGCATTGCCCCATCTTCTCCTCGAAGAGGCCCTATCGCCTCCTTGTTTTTCCTTTTTCTACTGACATAAGAAAAGAATCCCTTTTTATTGTTTTTAATGTCCCTGGCAAGCCTGAGCTCGTTTTGTGCTTTAGCCTTGCGGACCTTTTCCCTACAGCTGTTGGCTATTTGTTTGAATTCTTCTTTGGTGATTTCTCCCTTTTTCCAGTTCTTGTGCATGTCTCTTTTGTGTCTCAGCACAGTTAGAAGTTCTTTGGACATCCATTCTGGCTTCTTTGCACTTGTCCTATTTTTTCTTTTTGTTGGCACGGTTTGCAACTGCGCCTTGAGTATTTCACTCTTGAGAAACTCCCATCCATCCATAACTCCCTTGTCTTTTAGTATCTGTGTCCACGGAATGCTGCTCAGTGTTTCCTTCATTTTTTGGAAATCAGCTCTCCTAAAGTCCAAAATGCGGGTTTGACTTGTCTTAGTTTCGGCCTTTCTTTGTACCTCAAATTGCAGGAGCACATGGTCACTTGCCCCTAAGGATCCTACCACTTCAACCACATCGATCAGGTCCTCCGCATTTGTTAGGATGAGATCAAGAGTAGCCAATCCCCTTGTTGCCTCTTCTACCTTCTGGACCATGAAATTGTCTGCAAGGCAAGCGAGGAATTTGTTGGACTTTGTACTCTTGGCCGAGTTTGTTTTCCAGCAAATATCGGGATAGTTGAAATCGCCCATGACTACTACATCTCTTCTCTGTGCCTGTTTGGTCAACTGTTGGCAGAAGACTTCATCAAGTTCTTCCTCCTGGCTTGGAGGTCTGTAGTAGACTCCTACAACAAGATCTTTTTGAGTCCCAGTTCCCTTGATTCTTATCCAGATGCTTTCAAGCTGGTTTCCCGGATTGCTGTCATGCATTTCTTCTGCAGCATAAGAGTTTTTGACATATAAGGCTACTCCGCCTCCTCTCCCCTTTGTTCGGTTTCTGTGAAAGAGGTTATAGCCCTCGATGTCTACATTCCAGCGATAGGAGTCATCCCACCAGGTTTCAGTGATGCCTATGATATCATATTTGTGGTGTTGTGCTAAAAGTTGGAGTTCGTCTTGTTTATTTCCCATGCTCTGTGCATTAGTGTAAAGACATGTGAGCCCCTGAGATCTTCCCTTGAGCTGTTTAATTGGGATTATTGTGCTTTTGGTACTTGGTCGTTGTTGTGTTTGTGCAGCCCTCCGTTTAGCCTTCTGTGTGCATGTGAGCCCCTGAGATCTTCCCCTGAGCTGTTTAATTGGGATTATTGTGCTTTCGGTACTTGGTCCTTTTTGTGTTTGTGCAGCCCTCCGTTTAGCCTTCTGGCGGTTCCCTGACATTGTGGGTAAAGTAGTGTTCGCAAGGCTGTTGTCCCCCTCCCCCGGTGGGCCTAGTTTAAAGTGCGCCTAATGAGGTTTGCGAGTCTGTGAGCAAAAAGGTGTTTTCCTACTTGTGTGAGATGCACCCCATCCCTTGCCAGTAGGCCATCCTCCTGGAAAAGCAGGCCATGGTCAAGGAAGCCAAAGCGTTCCTCCTGACACCATTTTCTAAGCCAGTCATTGACCTGTACTATTTTTCTGGCCCTTGTAGGACCATGTTTTATGACTGGGAGGAGGGATGAAAAGACCACCTGTACATTACATTGCTTTAGCTTTGTTCCTAGAGCTCGAAAATCATTTGTGATCTTTTGAACAGTATGCCTAGCAGTATCATTGGTTCCTACATGAATCAACATGATATACCAGAGATGAAAGCAAATCTCTCTCTCTCTCTTTTTTTCTCTTTCTTTCTTTACTTCCCAGGCTGCAGGCTTGTGGCAGATCACTCTTGTCAAAGGTGTGAACCAATGGCTTGAAGAAGTACTTGGAAACTAGACCCAAGGCCCCATGGAATTCAGCAAAAAGATGCAGATGGTGTACAGACAAGTCATCTCGATTTATTGCTTTGAGTTAGGTCAGACACTAAGATAATTTTTCAAGAAAACATGGAACTAGGACAAGTTATACATTTAGCACACGTTTTATAGAGCTGCTTCGCTCAAGTGGTGAAAGATGTCTGAGTTTGTTATAACTCATTGTTTGCCCTGTTTGATTATTACGGCATGAATTTTTGTTATCTTTTTATCTTATTTTGAGTATGCTTTCTGTGAGTGGCCATTAGAAGGTAAACATGGGCTTAATTTGCATGCATCTCTGAGGAAATACCATTGTTGAAGGGAATTGGCTCAATTATGAACAATACGCCTTCTCTTGATATCTAATTTGACTCTGAGCAAATCTAGGTTATCTTTGAAGGAGGAAGTTCATTTTTGGCTATAAGAATTGTTGCAAAAACCAGGTGATATGAATCAGTGCATCAGCGAAGCATTTAATAGTGTTTAGGCAAAGTTAGATGGAATCATAAACATTTTTAAAAATCTCATAAAATGACTATTTAATTGCTTTATCGACTTTATTGTTGTCTTCTGAAACTGAAGCACTGTAGAGTTCCCAACATTCTGTCTGTATTATTTTAAACATCCAGAATATATGGTTTTCATATATCAAATGATCTTTTTAGCAGGTTGCAGCTACTAAACAAAATTCTGCCCATATTTGAAAGGGACAGCTGACAGCATGTGATCTGTAAAAACAAAAAACAAAACAAAACAAAAAACTAACTAAGCAGCAGAACTCCAGAATAAGCCATATATTCTTTCTATATGGCCATATTATATTTGACAGGATATGATACTGTTTTCAATGGAAATCACTAAGATAATGTTCAGTTTCAAAATGAGTAATATGACAGCAATATAGTGATGAAATCACAGTTTATGGATTACTGGCTGTAGTGGCTAAGGGGTTCTATGAGTCATGTCACACATATATAACTTTTTAAAGCTTCAGTTGACTCCACTTTCTTCTTTGTAACCAAGTTGGATTGTAGTTACCTAAAACCTTGGGTAAAACTG